AACTTTTGCAGGAGGATGTTTTTTACCACTCTCCTGACTACAATCATCACCATCCTTCGCTTTGTAACGTGATACACCACATGTTGGACATTGGTCTAAAGATGAGAATTCTTTCCTATATAACACACAATCATTAGGGCAAGCATGTATCTTCCTATATTCTAAACCCATCGGACATAGTATCTTCTTCGCTTCATACATACGGTCCGGCAAGGTGTTATTGTCGCGGGAGCATCTCCTTCAAAAGTTGGAGTAATTCATTAAAACTTGTATCACTCCAACCAAATTTGGCTTTTAGATTGACCAATCTTAACACGGATGACAACCGTGTGAAAGTTGTACATCCGGGATACAAAGGTGTCTCCGAATCGGTCCTCAATGTATCATATATAGATGCATGTGCTTCAAGAAACCTCTCTTGACCCACATCACAAAGCATGTCCTCTATTCGATCTTCGCAGGTTACATCATCCTCAATAGTTTGTGATACTGTTGGAATATGAACCACTTCACCGTGCCATGTCCATATTGTGTAATTCTTCATCATCCCATCGCAAATAAGATGCTCCCGCGTTGTGTCCATCTCTTGTACTCTGCCATTTACACAATTAACGCATGGGCAGTAGATTTTTCCATTCATTTTGGGAGCATTTTGTTCGGCAAATTTCAAAAAGGAGTCAACTCCATTTTCATACTCTTCTGACATACGACTTGCATTGACCCAAGTTCGATCCATCTAACTACATAAGAAGGCTTGCCTAGATATTCAAGGTTTATTAGAAAAGGTTTAACAAAACAATACAAAAAAAACGTGTACATTGCCTAACAATGCTCTAATGTTCCATACATGCTCTAATGTTCCATATACCACTTCGAAAGCTAAAGTTAAACCTAAACCTAAACGAAACCTAATGTTCCATATACCACTTCGAAACCTAAACGAACCTAGATCAAATCAAACCATATATACAAAATCATCCATCATCTTTCTAATGTTCATACGCAGGAAATGCTCTAAATAATTCATATTTATGTTAAATGCATGTTGTAAATCATCCATGCAACTTAATCTAACCTCGATGAGAGCGCGGCGAGTGGGCGGCGAAGGAGGTAGCACGGCGAGGGGCGGAGCGCGGCGAGTGGGCGGCGAGTGGGCGGCAGACCACAGCGAATGAGGTAGCAGCGGCGAGGAGGCAGAGCGAGGGCCGGCGAACTCAGGCGGCGAAGGGCGCGAGGGGCAGCGATGAGGATCGAGGCACAGAGAAGAAGAAGCGAAGGAGGGAGTATGTGGGACGAAGAAGAGGCAGACGAAGGGGAGCGCGAAAGGCGAGAGGTATAAAGGACATTCAACGTCGGTTATTAAAAACCCGACGTGGATAACGCTTTCGACGTCGGGTAAATCATATAACCGACGTTGATTTTGGGAATTCAACGTCGGTTATACATAACCGACGTTAAATTTAAACATTTAACGTCGGTTATAATATAACCGACGTTGAATTGCAGTTACTACGTCGGTTATTATGTAACCGACGTTAAATTTTGCCTCATAATTACAAGTTTGCCACCGCGTCTTGTACAACGTCGGTGTTCGTGATAGCCGACGTTGTATGCTGTCGTAGAAAGTGTTTTCTGTAGTAGTGGAAGTTTTATATTTTTACTTTTAAGTAAAAATATATTACGTTGAAATTAGTTATTTCCTAAAATTAAAAAAATGTGAAAACGAAAGAAAAATTATTTTTATAGTGTATTTTACACATGATGTTTAATAAAAAAAAATCAAACTCATAAATATAATAGATTAATTCACAAATACAAATAATTTTACTTACAAGTATATAATTTTATTTTGACTTAACTATTTCCAAAATAAAAACAAAATATGTGAAAGGAAAATCCTCTTTTTATTTTTTTAGTGTTTGTACATGATATTTTTATTTCAAATAATTAAAAAACCATAAATATAATAAATAAAATAAATATACGAATTCAAATGTTACATCTAAGTTATATTCCAGTTTAAATAAATATATGAGTCGGGTTGATTCTAATGTTATTGTTTGTTAGCACTAACGTGGCACATAAATAAGTCATCTGTACAAAGCAATACCTTTCACGTAGACATGACATCGGAACAGGATGGTTGCGGGTTTTACTTTCCTAATTTTCCTCCTTAACTTTTTTTAACCATTCTCCTTCTCCTCGTCAACTGTAAGGGATTAGAAATTAAACTTTCATTATTTTCTCAACTAAATTTCAATTTTTTTCATCAACGGTCTCTTATTTATATTATTTAAAAAAAATAATTATATTTATAATAATTTAATTTTATTATATAATTTTATAATTATTATTAATTAAATATATATTTTTATTTATTATATTTATATTACAATATATATGAAAACAAATATTTAATCATTTTTATTTATATATATATATATATATAAAATATTTATAATAATATTATTATAATAATATATTTAAATATTTGAATATTTATAATAATAATAATAATATTATTATTATTATTATTATAATATATTCAAATATTTGATTACATATACAAACTAATTTATTTTTAAGTTATTATTTAAAAATATGAAATATATAATTTATAAAAAAAATTTAATAATTTAATTTTTATTTAATTAGTTTAAAATAATAAAAATTTAAATTATCAAAATTTTTTAATTCTTTAAAATACAATTATTTTATTAAGATAAAATTTGATATATGATAAATTAGAATAATAAGATAAAAAAATAATATAATAAAATTTAATAAATATAAATTATAAACAAAATAATATTAGTTACTATTAAGATTTATGTAAAATATTTAGAAAAAAATAATTAAGAAAAAAATTAACTTTCTTTTTATCAAATTAATTGAAAAATTTAAAAAAAATTGATAAAAAAAATTAAAAAAATATAAAAAACTAAAATTTAACCGAAAAAATAATATAATAGCTTAATTGATATAAAAAATTAAAAATAAAACAAATTAAAAAATAGATAAAAGAAATGATAAAATATCAAAAATTTATTTTATATATAATAAAAAATAATTTTAAAATATTAATATTTTAAAATTTAAATTTAAATATAAAATTGATTGAAATAAAATATAAAATAAGAATTACGTTGTTCATTCCCGTTACTGCTCAACTTTTCAAATGGGAAAAATTGGTATCCGTCCCGTCCGTTTCGGTCAACTCAGATTTCTTAGGTAAAACTCGAAGGGGATGCGAGTGGTCCCGTTGTTACACATTTATTTGTGATCCTACTTTTAAGGTGAATTCGCCATAACACGAATTTCAAAGCTTAATAAGAGAAAGGAAAAATGATACTTTTATCATCTAAATTTATATAATTTCTCTAAATAATTTTTTTTTAATATTATAATAATAATTTTATTTTATTTTTATTAAATCATTTAGTAAATTATTATATTATCTTCTAAATAAATTTTTTTAATATTATAATAATAATTTTATTTTTTTTTATTAAATTATTTAATAAATTATTATATTAATAAAAAGAAGTTTTTAAAGGATTGTATGATTTGTGAATGTGAACATATCAACACTCTAATAAAAAAATACCAAGAAGACAAAAAAAAGCGCGAATGTGTGATAATTTTGTATGAGTCACCGTATCTCGTTCTGGAAGGTGATGTAGGTAATGATGTGTCTATATAGTTCATAAATGAGTACAAGTTTGCATAGCAAATATGTATATGATATATTTACTTGAATTTGACGTAAATAAGGTTAGAACTTGAGATGTTGACCATTTCATGAATTAGGGTTGGGCTTAGCACTCTTAATTAAATTATTAATTTCAATAACTGTTTCTAAAACCGAATATTCAAGAAAAGTCAAATTTAAATTATGCAAATAAATCCAATGTTTAAATATAGTAAAGGAAACTTTATTTTTAAGTTATATTATTATATAAATGATAGGTAACCGACATTTCTGTCCACACCACATTTCGTGAGTCCTTTTGTCAGCAAGAACTTACGTACATTATTATAAAAGAAAATAAAATTTAATATTTATATAATGATTGATTGGTATGAAATTTATTCACAAAGGTTTTGCATAGAAGGTATTCGCCCGTGAATTACTTGTTAATTATATTTAAATTGGAACATGACATAGTACCCATTGGTATGGTATGATGGTACGGTACAAAGACTGCATATAGAAAAAAAAAATCAGCACCTGCTCTTGATTTCCATTAATTTTTTTATTAATTATAACTTAATTCAAATTGTGTATCATTTCACAAGTATGAAAAGTATACATTCAAAGTTAAGTGACCATATGCATATTACTCATTTTATCAAACATTCACACACTCATAAGTTATTTAATTATTTATTTTTTAATCATTCTGGTGTGTTGAGACTAGTTTAGGTATTTTTTCTTTAGAATTACAATAAATAATAACACACCCACTAAGTAGCTCTCTTTTTTTGCTTTTAGTTGAAATAATTATTTTCAAGTGGTTTTTCTCATTTAATTTATTTGAAAATTTAAAAGTTTTTTTTTTCAACAACCAAAGACAGTTCTCAATTTAGAGAAGGGGTTGGCTCACCTATTTAGGTTTCTTTTCCTGATAGTTAAGGATCAAAGTAACCCTCAACTAAAATAGATATAATATTTCAACCAAAAAAAAGTACCTAATATTGCTATAGGTTTATATTTGTTTGAGAATTAATTGTTTCTCTTTAGCATAAGGCACTGGATTTTTCATTTGGTCAGAAGAGAAGAAATAACAAAATTTTGACCTCCTTAAAATAGCAGAACCATGAATTTTTACAAAAGTTTAAACAACTAGTACCATTAATTTTGGATTTATTTTTCTAACTGTGCAATTTCAATTCGGAAACCGTTAATGAAAGCTTTACAGAGTCACTGAAAAACCTAATAAAGGAGAAAATGAACCTTAGTCCTCAAATGAAAGAAACTTCGATACAATGAAGTTGTACTATGCTGAAGAAGAGCAGACAGAAGTACTTTTAATTTTTCTTTGTGGATGATTAACGTAGGATTTCAAGAACTGAACGAGAAAAGCAACGTTTAACAGAGAGTTGAAAAGCCAAGCTCCGATTCCGTTACACCCTCCTCGCAAGTAATGCAACAAGAGCACGCCAACGTGGCACGCAACGTTACAACCCAACAGTGCCAGCTGGCAATTCGCGGTGAACGACAACGGTGTTTTGTTCGGCAACCCGAGTTCCGTCCGCAACCGGAACGCGTAGACCACGGAATAAACCGACGTGTAAAACAGAATCGCCAGCACCTGAAGCGACTGCGAAAACTCCAGCCACAGAAACGACATGACGAGGATTACGGAGTTGTTAAACAGTCTCAAAAACGACAACCTTCGGTCACGCAAAACGACGAAGAAGGTGCGCAGCAGGTGGAGAAAACGTGAGAGGTAGAAAAGGTAGGACCAGAAGAAGACACGACCGGAGGGGCGAGTACCGAGAGGGAAACAGAGTAGCCACTCGAACGAAGTGGTTCTGGTGCGCCGCCACAGCCACCGCGTGTCACGGGCTTCGGCTTCGGCGGAGAAGAGCGTGCCGGTGAATATCGCGACGGAGATTAACGACATGGCGAGGCTGTGGAGGACGGGGATGGGCCCTAACGGAAGGGAACGGCGGATACGGCAGAGTTTAAGGAGGAGATGGAGGGCCAGGGCGGCGGCGACGTAGAAGGAGATGGCGGAGACTAGGAAGGACCAGGTGGCGGCGTATAATTGGGTGGGAGTCCAGCGGAAGGAGACAATGGAAGGGTGTTCTGTCAGCCAATATTTGATGTTGTCCATTACGTAATAGTAAGATAGCATCTTTATGTAATTGTAAAAGTCTTGCATTCAAATGGGAGTATTTTTAGGTGCTGAATGAATATAATAAGGGAGTGGAATTTAGGATAGAATTTGGAACACAAGGTTGAATCACTCTTAGGATTTATTTAGTGTGTCTGTTTATTCAGCCAGACTCGTGTGTTTTGAGGCTTGACCCTTGACTAATGAATGCATTAAGGTTGTGCTCAGCGCCGGATGTTATTGGGAGATGTGTGTTTTGAGGCTTGACCCTTGACTAATGAATGCATTAAGGTTGTGCTCAGTGCCCGATGTTATTGGGAGATGAACGGGTTCGTGTGACCCTCAAATTTCTTATTTTCCATTATTTATATATTTATAATTCTATCTTAATAAACATTTAATATATTTATTTATATATTTATAATTCTATTTTTTTAATCCTTTTTCGGTTTTGTAATTCTATCTTTTTAATCCTTTCTCAGTTTTGTAATTCTGATAAAATTTATGACTTTGTCTCCCTCAAACTTAATAATCATTTAATATATTTAAATATATATTTATAATTTTATCCTTTTACCCTTTTATTTTCTTTTTATATTTATTTATTAATAATATATTATTCAAACTTAATAATCATTTAATATATTTAAATATATATCTATAATTTTATCCTTTTACCCTTTTATCTTCTTTTTATATTTATTTATTAATAATATATTATTTTATATTTATTTATTATTTATTAATAATATATTATTTAATTTTAATATCAATAATCTCCTATTGGTTGTACTAATATCATCTTCTAGAAGTATTGTTTTAGTTACAAGTAGGAAAGTGGAGCATGGAGGAGAGATGACATGGAATTTAAAGCCAAGATTGATCAAAATTCAAATCTCAGAACACAAAATGGCAATTGGAAGGGAAATTTTTTCATTGTATATTTTGAAAGAGGTAAATATGATATTTATGATGTAACATCATTTTTAATAAATTCAATGTTGATTTTATTTATTAAATTTTTTAATAAATTTTAACAAAATTATTCTCTTTTATACTCTTTTTTTATGTTTGATGATGTAATTAAAAAAATTCTTTTATTTAAATATTTCAATAAACAACTTTTATTAAAAATATTTTTTTAAAAAATTAATATGATCCTCGTATTAATCACTTCACGAAGTTGATTATCATAACACCAAAATATTAAAGTGTGATTATTTTCATATTATTTTAAACTGAAACGCATTGAAATAATATAAATATTTAACGAATTAAGTAGATACATACGTTGTTAATTTATTTAAATCAACAATCAATGGAACCGGAACATAAACAATATTAGTAAATATATTTTGAAAAGTTTACAAATATTTATAATGTTATTTAATTGTTTATATTTATGTAAAATAAATTTATAATTTTTTATAATAATTATCATTGATTTTAATTTTAATATATTTTTAATATAAATTTTTATATTAGCACTTAATTTTGAATAATCTAAACATGTATTATTAAATTTTAAATTAAATATTTACTATAAATTTGACTTATTATTCATAAAGAATCACAATAAGAGAATAATGTGACAACATTTATACTCTGGTTTATGTTTTAACTAAGTTCGTACAAAAATAATGTGTCGGATTTTTTTTTATCAATCTATTTGTAAATTAATATCACCTCCTAACTTTACTATATTCTTGCATATCTTTTTAGTTATATTATTTAATTTATAAACAACATAATAATTTATATGTTGTATCAGATATATAAAAAGAAACCTAATATATTCGTAATGTGTAAAATAATAATTGAAAGAAAGTGAAGAATGACCTAAGGGTCCCTGCAGGGAGAAATAAAGTTTGAATGCTAGTGAGAAGATATATGTAATAAAATAACCAAGTTGTAATTAAAAATATATATAAACTTTTAATTTAAATTTAATAATGGAAATCAAATTGTAAAATTTAATTTTTACTAATAAACAATTAATTACAAAAAATAAAGGATGTTACATATATTTGATCCATTTATTTTAATTTATATTTTAATTGAATAAATTTAAATATATTATTACATATTTAAAATTATCTTCAAAGCTATTAACATAAAATATTAATCTTACTAAATTTCTCTGCAAATATAATTTACAATAATAATATATTATTGTTATTATAAATTATAATTTATTATTATTTTTTCTTTTTATCGATAGGAGTTGAATTAAAAGAATAAACTAATCTTTAAGTTAAGAAATCAATTTGAAAGTTAAAATTTTGATTTAGAATATATTAAGTATTTAATCAAATCAAATTTATATATAATAAATTTAAACATAAATTTTTAAATTTATTTTTCTTTTCTTGTTCTTATTAAAAATTTAATAGAAAATAAATTATTTTTACACAATATAATTATTTTGTTCTTTTTCTTTATTTATTATTTTTATTTTTTATTCTCTTCATTTACCTTGTATTTATTTATTCTTTTATTTTTCTCTTTTTTATTATTTTTTTATTCATCTTATTCTTTAAATTTAAAATAAATTAAAATTTAATAAAATAAATTTGTTATCATTTAAAAAAATAAAAATATTTAAATTATTTAAAAATATTATATTTAAAAATATGATATTATAAATTTAAGGTATTATAAATTGTTATGTTATAATTGATAAGAAAAAAAATTAAATATTTTTTAATAAATATTTTTTAAAATTATCTAGATTAATCATCATAACTCAATCTAATTATAATTTTATTTTATAAAAATTTAATTTTATAATAAAATAATAATTGTCTATATATTTTCTTTTACGATATTATAATAAATATTTTTTTAACAAAATTTATTGTGTTATTCTTTTATTTACTTTAATAACGGTTGAAAGTATGAAGAGAAAGTCAGGAAAAAAGAATTGATTTAAAAAAAAATGGGTTCGATTTAATTTTTAAAAACAGTTTTAACTTCTTCTTTTTTAAATAGGATAAACTAAAATTATTTTAAACTGAAGAATAATATGCATGATAATGAAAAATTATAAAATATATTTTTTTAAATATTTTTTGTCGGTTTAATTTTTTTTTTTTCATATTTATTTTAACAGAAGAAAGTTCTAAGTGATTGAGTTGAAACGTTGATTTTACCCCCAACAAACAGTAAAAGAAAGAAGCTTCGTGTTGCTTTCATCTTTTGTCAGCAGATAAACCAAAATTGCGAGTACGGAGCACATGATATGAACACATACAGCCTCGTTTGTTCTCTTTTCACCATTGACTTCCACGTTCCATCCATTCTGCTCTCGATTTTCTCCCTTTCTCCAGCCAGGTTTGTCATTTTCTATTACCCTCTTCTTTCCTTTGTGGTTTCGATTTCTTCTTGTTTGCGCTTTCAATTGCCCCAATCTGTAAACCCTCGTTTTCTTCGTTGCGGCCCTCTGAATTATTCATGTAAGAAAGACTTCAAAATTAACTAGCTTTTTTGTTCATAAACGATATCTGCCTATTTTGTCACCTTCATGCATTCCTGTTTATTTGATTTCCTCTGATTAACACAACTCTATCCTTTTCATTTTTATTTTTTTTGCATTGTTTTTTTTCTTTGAATTCCGTTCAACAAGTGGGATTCGTCGTTTACGTTGGTCTGGGTCATTGAAAACGCGTTTTTTTTTTTCTCTAAGACGACGCAATAGCTTTTTGCTTCACAAATACCACATGAAAAATACTGATTATTTTATCACAGAGCGTGTTGTGTGGGGATTGTCTTGTATGTGACAGTTGTTTTATATGTTATGGAGAACTCGTTAAGTTGTATAGGAATCTGAATGTTTGGATTTTGTAGATGGCCAGTGGGTTTGGGGAATCAACAGAGAGGTCACCCCCAAGCCCTTCATACTTCAACAACAATAATAACACTGATGCTGGAAATTTTGAATGCAACATTTGCCTTGAATTAGCGCAGGACCCCATAATTACTTTGTGTGGTCATCTTTTCTGCTGGCCTTGTCTTTATAAATGGCTTCACCTTCACTCACAGTCACGAGAATGCCCGGTTTGCAAGGCCCTCGTGGAGGAGGAGAAGTTGGTTCCCTTGTATGGGAGAGGAAAGACCTCCACTGATCCGAGATCAAAATCTATTCCAGGCATTAATATCCCCCATCGTCCAGCTGGTCAGAGGCCTGAAACTGCTCCTCCACCGGAAACAAATCATTTTCATCAACATGGGTTTGGATTTATGGGTGGGTTGGGAGGATTTGCACCACCGCCAATGGCAACGACAAGATTTGGGAATTTTGGATTGTCTGCAGCTTTCGGTGGTTTTATACCATCCCTATTCAACTTTCAGTTGCATGGGTTTCATGATGGGGCCATGTATGGGGGAGCGTCTGGTTTTCCTCATGGATTTTCTAATACATTTCATGGTGTCCATGCTCATGGATATCCTCTTCGCACTCATCAAGGGCAACAAGATTATTATTTGAAGAAGCTGCTTCTAGTTGTTCTTTTCTGTGTTCTTCTTGCTTTTATTTGGCAATAGATTGGATACGACCTCAGGTTGCTAGCAGAACAAGACTTCTGCTATGATAGGTCTTCTGGTGCGCTTTGTTTTGTAACTGAGGACTAAGGATAATGTTCATAAAATAATACTGTCTTATTACTCTGGTAGTTCTGTTATTTGTGGCACCCAACTTGCATGGTATCCAAATGTTAAATTTAAAGCATGAAAGCAGAACACCATTGTTAGAATAAAGATACCAAGTGTATCACCTATAGATATTAATTTCATGGTCATTATACCGAGTCTGAGACTACAAGATAGATGAAATAGTGAAGTTGTGCCCTTGTTTGCTTGTGTTCTTATCTTTTCAAGTCTATGTTGACAATGTTACTGCGGATGTTATATCTAAAGTAATTTGATGCATACTACTCTTTTGTTTTCATTATTCACTGACATTCTTGATTTAGGGGTTATACTTGTTTTCTTCGATGTCCGATTGTGCACATTTGTGATGTTTACATTCAGCTTGTCTCTGCTTTATTTTTCTGTTATATGACCAGAGATGGTTTTTTACATTTCTTAGACAAGTATATAGAAATCTATTCTATGATTGGATTGGTGGAAGGAGGTAGAACAAAATGGGATTAAATTCCACCGATTGGATATGTGTCTCATTTTTCTTCCCTTCCAAATTGGGAGAAAATGTAACAAAAAGTATAACATTTTATAAAACTGTAAATTACTTTTCAATCCTTTTCTTTTGTTCGATATCGGTCTCAACATCTCTCATGACAAAAATGCAGCAGCCCCACGACCTGGAGAGTTCCTTCACAGTTTCATTTGTTCACAATGCAAATCACCACATCACCCGAGGTAATTTTCCCCCTTCCTCTAGTTCTATATGATTCACTGGCATTGTTGCTTCCTATCGCTTAATGATTTTTTTTATTCTTTTAATGGGAACAAAGAGGCTTGAGTTTATAATCTGAGATTTGACTATTCATGAATGAGAATGTTAACAGTACACACTTTAACACACTCTTTTTAACACATTTTCTACTGTTGGTTGAAATTAACGGAAAATCACAAATTTTGGGGTTGTACTTCTTGTTTAGTGAGTCTCTTTTGATTTTGTATTTTTCAATAAATTTTAACCAATAATGTAGATTACATGTTAGAAAGAGTATGGTAGAGATAGTGCAGTCAACACTCTTCAACTGTAATTTATGTGCCACAACACCTTGAGTTTAGGAAAATTTAATGAGAAGAAAGTATATGCACTAAATGTCACACCAACGTTAATTTCTCATTTATTGATAGTGTAGAATCTGTTAACTTACAAGTTACAACATATATCTATTAAACTCAAATTAATTGGGCGACATTTTTTATGTTTGGCAAATTCAATTTACACTTTGAAAATTTTAGTGTTGTTTCTCTTTTGAAAATTCAAAAGAGCTTGATATTTAGTGATGACTTTCTTCTCATTATGTTTTACGTTGCACGCATTTTCTGGTTTTTTGCAACTAAAGAGGATGATTTGGATGGTATGTACATTCACGTATGATGTTAAGATCTATATGTATGAAAATTGAGGTATATAAACACATACCTAGGAATTCGTAGATCTAGTTTTTAACATCTTATTGAATATACCTTGTGCTTTTGTTAAGTTCTGAACAAAGGGATTGAAATGAAATTTTTATGATGATTAAATCCGATTAGTGGTATGAATATAGGAGAAAGTGAGGTGCGCTGTTAATTTTTATTTATTTTTTCCATCTTGTATTATGTTGAATTGTAATGTTAGATGTTTTAAGCAACCCTGCTGTTCTTTATAGCTATGGAGTTGCACTTGTGAATGCTTTTATGCAATTGTGTTGTTTATCTTTCTAACGACGAAAGTGACATTTTTTTAATAATTTCTATTGTAATCATATATTGCAGTTCTTGTTTTCATAATTAAGGATAAAAAAATTATTATTTCTACTGTACCTTTTTCCTAACCCAAAAATGGAATGAGGATTTTGTTTCTTTCCTTCGTTTCGTAGTAATAATATATGCAAACAATGTAAAGAAAGTTTTATTCAGTTATGTTCTATTCGACCCCATTTATCGAATTCCATCTTATCTTAACTCTTCCATCAATCCAATAAGGCTAAAGGACCTGGATACTAGTGCCCCATCTATGCATGCTAAGTGGATTTAATTTTTAGGTTTAATTAGTCATTTGGTCTTTCTGTACTTGCACAGTATGTAATTAAACATACACTTTTAACTTATTTTAGTCCTTACACATAACGTCTCAATCCATTTTTTAGTCCCTACAATTATAGAAAAAAAAAAACTAAAAAGAATAGTTTCTGAAAATAAGGACTAAAATGTACATATTATAGACCAAATAAGTAATTCAACATTTTTTTTATAATGTTTGGGTTGACATAATGGTATTTTCAGCTTGATTATAGTACAATGTAGTAGACACTCATATGAGAAAATTGGTATCAGTTGACAAATAACAGTTTTTCAGAACGGTATGACTATTGTGGCCATGTTTGCGTGTATATATTCTTACCTTCTCACTATGTTTCTACTCTCTGTTTGCTTTTGTGCTCATTACATGCCTGTATTGAGTGCTAATCTTGTTACCATCAATGTAGTAAATTGTTCCTGCCTCATTTCAATAAAATGCCTGAAAGTCGGTCTCTATTGCATACTTTTCTGTTATGATTTTTGGTTAAGCCTAACATTTGTCTGGAGAGGATTCTCTATCTGTGTACACTTGTCAGTACTGATGACATGTATACGCTTCGCAAACATCTTTCATTCTCGTTTTCTGCTAAGCAAATAACTGTTGTGCCATTGGGCACACTTCTTCCCTGAGCTTGATCTAAATAAGCTCGCACTAAAAGGTCTCTTTTACGAAGTCAAACACGCAATTGTTTCCATTGAATTTATTGTCTTGGTTTTGTAGTAATCAAGTTGCATGGTTATTTTGTGGTTTTGCAATCAACCGTGTCATAGATGAAAGGTAATTTACCCGATGGAAATTATGATTTGGGCCCGGGTCACCAGTTTTTAACCTGCAGGAGCTGAATTGTTTGAACGAGTGTCTGCTTGTTTTAAAGTTGACTACATTTGATTTTAAATTGTTGAATTAGAATGTGTCTAAATGAATCTCTAATAATGTTTACATTGAAATGTTTATTGTGACATGGAAAGTTGTTCTATGATCATCCAAACGGGTACCATATTTGGGTGGAAAGGTGGTGCGACCAAGAATGATGGGAATTTTAATACTGAGAAAATCGTCTTTCGGCTATGGCAAATAGCCAAATTGTTTACTAAACCCAGGACCCAGAGTTTGAATCTATTAGCTAGTTCACCTGGGACTGGGCGTTTTTATCGTTTTTATAGTGATTTTTTTCCTGAAAGTTCTTTTTAATAAATAAAAAAAAGTTTAATGAATATGCATTATCAGTGTTAAAAAAATTACACGGTTAACCATTGGTGATTTGTGATTGAAGGTAAATTAAAAAAATGTCAACATTGTCAGCTTATAACTTATTTTCTAAAAAATAATTGAGCAGTGATGATTATATAATTTATGAATACTTTTTTATTGAATTTTTTACGTGGTTGTTAGTTTGTATCGTGATTTTGTTACTTCTTTTTTTCTTCTTTATTTTGACTTTTACACAGAGTTATATATTTTTTTACTTTACTTGTATTATTTAGTTCAGAGATATATTTTCAATAATATGATATTTATATCTATTAAGATGGTATCAGAAATTTTCTTTCTTTGATTGCTCTTTTATGGCTTCCAATCCTTACTTCCTTCATTCTAATGATAATCTTGCCCTAGTTCTTGTTGATGGCAAAAATTATCATGCTTGGATTCGTGCTATGAAACTTGTCCTGGTAGCTTGCTCTTCATGAATCCTGGGATTGGTGTAACATGATGGTTCTCTCTTGGCTTCAATGTTCAGTACATGATTCCATTCTCCAATCCATTCTCTGGATCGATTTCGTTGTTGCTGTATGACAAAGATCTATTTCATCGTTTTCATTAGGGTGATTTTTTTCGTGTGCCTACATTACAAGAAGAGTTATACAAATTATCCCAATGTATCTTTTCTGTTACTGAATTTTATACTACCTTACGGACCATTTGGGATGAAATTGATACTTTTCGCCCCTTTTTGCTTGCAAATGTTTTATTCACTATTCTTGTGATGCATTTGATTCTGCCCTAAAATATAAGCAACAAGATAAGGTGATTCATTTTTTTAAGAGTTTGAATGATCAATATATCTCCGTCCGATCTTACATCATGCTTATGAATCCTCTTCCTCCGGTTACTAAGGTTTTTTATCTGATTATTCAACAAGAATGTCAGTTTCTTTCTATTCATGATCCTATTAATGTTTCTATTGAATCTCAAGTTTTAGTTGTTGATATCAATCCTCATTCATGACCGAAATCTGATGACAATTTTAGTTCGGGAGTTTTCAATGGTGACTGTAATAAAGGTTTTTCTTCTAGAGGTCGCGGTAGGTTTTTTGGTGGACGCGGTTAATTAGGCACCAAATTCTGCACATATTATGACCAATCTAATCATACCATAAATACTTGTTATTTCAAACATGGTATTTCCTCAGGGTATCTCTCTAAAGGTGCACGCATGGCTAATATTCTCTAGAGTGCTTTTATCACAGATTTATTTACATCCAATATCTTGCTACCTTAAGAAGCTTCAAGTTCAGTTCATTGGTTAATTTTACTGCATAGCAGTATCAAGACATTCTGACCCTTTTAAGACATTCTGACCCTTTTAAAGCAATCCAAGTCTGTTTTTCATACTGTTAATTCTGTGTCCACTTCTTTTATCTCCAACTCTTTCACCTCTCCATCCACTATTCCTAAACCCTCTTCTCCTCATCCGGATAAACATATTCATCAGTGGATTTTGGACACCAGTACCACTGACCATATTACTTTTCATTTCAAACATTTCATTAATTACAAGTCTATCTCGCCCATTTTAATCACATTACCCAATAATGTCCAAGTTTCCACCTTCATTTCTGGTACTGTCCTTTTATCTGACTCTTTAATCTTTTATGATGTTCTTTATGTACCAGATTTTCGTGTCAATTTAATTTTGGTTCATAAACTCATTTATACTCTCAAATGTCATTTATTTTTTCATTCTGACTCTTGCTCTATTATGCAAAATACCTCCAAGAAAATGATTGTTTTAGCTTAATTGCACCAGGGATTATATGTGATAAATTTGTCTCCTCACCAGCCATATCCTTCTTCTACAGGTCACATCACTACTACCAATATCCCAGATGACTCTCTTTGGCACAATAGATTAAAGTCATCATTCTGATTCTATTTTACGAGTTATTTCCCAGCAATTTTCCTTCATTCCTTATTGTAAAAGCACTTCTCCATGTGACATTTGTCATTTTTCCAAACAAAAGAAGTTGTCCTTTTCTACTAGTGAAACCCATTTGAATAAAATTTTTGAGATTCTTCATGTAGATATATGAGAACCTTATTTTGTACTTTCTTTGTCTAGTCACAAATATTTTCTTACTCTAGTTGATGATTTAACACAATTTGTCTTTATGATTGAAACTCAGTTCCATGCCAAATTAAAAAAATTTCATAGTGACAATAGAGTAGAGTTTTTATTGCATGATTTTTTCTCATCCAAAGGCATCATTCATCAACATACCTGTGTTGAGACTCCTCAACAAAATGGTATCTTTGAACGCAAACATCAACATATTTTAAATACAATTAGAGTCTTATTTCATCAAGCACAACTCCCTCAAAATTGTTGGTATTTTGCTATACAACAAGCTGTTCACATTTTTAATCGGTTACTTGCTCCATTGTTGCATTTTAAATGTCCTTATGAGATGTTACACAACCAACCTCCTAGCCTGATTTATCTCAAAGTTTTTGGTTGTCTTGCATATGCTAGTACTCTTCACTCTCATAGAACTAAGTTTCAATCTCAAGCACGTAAATCTATTTTCTTGGACTATAGGGAAGGTACAAAAGGGTATGTTCTATATGATCTTCAATCTCATCAAATTTTTATTTCTAGAAATGTCATTCTTTATGAAACTGTTTTTCCCTTCATTGAATCTGTTTCCCCGTAATTCCTTTATTAACTGCACATTCACATCATTCCTCTCATATTCCTCTTGTCAATCCAGCATCTGATCACACCCCTATCTCACCCACCGAGCCTTCTTCTTCTTTACACCAATAACCTAATCCAATCCTTAGACATTCCACTCGCCCTCTCCAAAAACCTTCCTATCTGGTATATTTTCATTATAATTCTATGGTGGTTTCAAGATGTTCCAGTCACTCTTCTGCAGGTACATGTGTTTATCCCTTATCTTCTGTTCTTAGTTATAATAAATGTAGTCTTTCCTGTAAAAATTTCTATTTTTTTATCACCATTGTTTCTAAACCGAAAATTTTTCACCAAGCATCTAAATTAGATTGTTGGAACAAGGCTACGAATGTTGATTTATAGACTTTACAACAAAATAACACCTGGTCTCTTGTCGAGCTTCCCCCAGGTAAAAGTCCTATTAGTTGTAAGTGGATTTACAAAATTAAATATCATGTTGATGGTACTATTGAGCGTTATAAGGAGGTCTGGTTGGTTGCCAAGGGTTATACTTAATTAGAAGGTGTAGATTTTTTTGATACCTTATCTCCCGTTGTTAAAATCACAACCATTCGTGTTCTTTTAGCTATTGCTGCAGTTCAAGGCTGGTTTTTGGAGCAACTTGATGTTAATAATGTCTTATTTCATGGCGAATTGCATGAAGAGGTTTATATGCTTCCTCCACCTGGTTTCCTACCTCTTAGTTCTTCTCAAGTTTTTCGTTTACACAAATCTCTTTATGACCTCAAACAAGCAAGCAGACAAAGGCACAATGTTTTATCTGCCACTCTTGTCTCTCTTGGTTATCACCCATCTTCTGCTAATCACGTTCTCTTTGTAAAATCGTGTTCTAACTCTTTTACTGCATTGTTAATTTATGTTGATGATCTTGTTCTTACTGGAAATAATTTGGCTGAAATTCAGTCAATGAAGCAGGTTTTAGACTCCAAATTAAAAATCAAAGATCTTGGTTCGCTGGGTTATTTTTTGGGCCTTGAAATTGCAAGATCTAAGTTTGGAATATATATGAATCAGCACAAATATGCTCTTGAGCTCCTTCATGACAGTAGATTACTTGACTCCAAACTTGCACCTATGCCTTTTGATCCATCTACGATATTGCCTTTTTTGTTCAGTAGTTAAGCCAACACATGTCTAACCCGCATGACACTCACTACAAGGTTGTCATTCGTGTTCTCCATTATTTGAAAGACTCTCCTGTTCGAGGTTTATTTTTCTCTATTTCTTCTGCACTTTGTCTTTTGGCCTTTGCTGATTCAGATTGAGCATGTTGTTTAGATACACATTGGTCTATTATTGATTTTTGTGTTTTCCTTGGTTCGTCCTTAGTTTCGTGGAAGTCTAATAAGCAATACACTGTTTCTCGTTCATCTTCCAAAGCTGAGTATCGAGCCTTGACTAGTTTAACTTGTGAAATTCAATGGATGTATTATCTTCTTCATGGCTTACATGTTTCATTGGAACTTACATGTTTCATTGGAACTTACAACAATTTATTGTAATAATCGTTTGACTATTCATCTTGCTCATAATCCAGTTTTTCATGAGCATACAAAGTATATTGAGATTGATTGTCATGTCATTTGTGAGAAGATTCAACAAGGCGTCATTCACTTACTTCTTATAGCTTCTTCAGCTTGATGTCTTCACCCAACTTCTTCATCACACGCCCTTTGACAATTTTGTTTTTAAGTTGTGTCTTTGTGATATCCACTATCCAACTTGAGAGGTATTACAAATATTTGTTTCATTAGGTTTGTTACGTGGTTATTAGTTTGATGAGATTTTGTTACTTTTTTTCTTTTTTTTTCTTTATTTTGACTTTTACACATAATTATATATTTTTTTCTCTGTTTGTATTGTTTTGCACAGAAAAAAATATTTTTAATAACATGAGATTTATATCTAATAAGAATAATAAATGCAGTTGGAGTAAAAATATATCATGTTAAATGTTTTTATAACTACATGCACAACACAAACCGCTGAGGGATTATTCCAGCGTAGCTAATTAGTTAAATTTATTCATGGAGGATCATTTTAAATGAAAAATAACACAGTACAATTACGCAGGCCATTTTTTTTTTGCATTCCATTGCCTCGTAATTTTGTTTTATATAGGTTTCATATCCTCATTGTAAATAGCCTATCATTTATAGTATGATTCTCTCACTGCAGCATTTTCTTCCAACTTCATTTACATCATGAACTATTCCGTATCTCTATCTCGTATTTAGATTGATTCAATAAGATCAGCCCATGTTATATTTTCTATTGATGCTACATCACTTTGTTTCAAAGACTAGAGTTTATTAAATTTTGTAAGACTAAAACGTAAAATTATAAAACTAATTAATGAAAATAGAAATTCAAACTAGGAAATACTTTTTACCAAATTTTAATTTGTAGTTTTCAAAACTAAAAATAAAAATAAATTTAAAAATTATTTTAACAAATAATTACGAAACATATATTTTTTTTAGCTTTTAAGAACTGAAACCTGTTTTTAAATTAGCTTTTAAAAACAAGAAATAAACAAACTATTATTTTATCATTTTACGGAAGCATCCAAAATGCATGCTTCTTATTTATTGATGCCTCGTGTTCACTTCTACCTGGCACGTTTAATTAAATTTCAACTGTAAAGTAATTATGAGGTCAAAACATGCTATACTTTTATAGAAATGCAAGTTGCACCTGACAAATTTTTTGAAGTAACAAGAATATAGAACTGTAAATGCCCTCATTCAAATTATTTTTACAATACTATATAGTAGTACTAGATTTTAATTTACATGCATTGTTTATATTGTCAATTATCTGAAGAAACATTTTCATACTATCATCATCTAAAATTTCTGAATCTAAATACTATCCTTTTGTTCTAAATAGAATTTAACTTGAGTGCAGTAACCCGATTTTGTTTCATTACAATTTTTATCCTATATTAATATTTATTATTTTAAGTATCAAAATTGAATAATTATTAATTATATTTATTTTTATATATTTATATATTTTATCTTTTATTTCTTTCATATTCTTTTACATTTTCATATTCATTTATTATTAAATAATAATATATTACTCAGACTAAAAATCGGTGACTATGCGTGTTCAAGAATCGAGTGATTAATCATGAGTGTTCTAAACTTTTAATCTGTTGAATATGAAATACTACTAATTGTGAGATAACCTGTCAACTCTGAGGAGAGGGACAGAGTCATATTTTTGTGTTTTGTAGCACATGTCTATGTTTTATCTGTAGGGTAATGCAAGGAGCATAAGATTGTATCATTTAAGTGTGAAAACGAGCTCATTTAAGTTAAACTCTTGAAATTTGAGTTTCATAAAAAAATTATGAGATAAGTTTAACTCATTTATTTAATTGAATTAATTAAAAATGTGTTTGATTTGATAACAAAAGATGAGCTTGATTTGTTCAACTTATTTATAATTTAATTAACTTTTTTATGTGAATTTTCTTAAATTATTTATATAACAATCAATATATCACTTGCTATTTACTAATCTTTTATTTTAATTTAAATCACAAAATATAATAAAAAATACAATATTATAATACAAAAAATATTTTCCTTTAATATATATGTATGCATATATAAAGTGTTTTTTTTTTTTAAGTGGAATGTCCAAAAAATTTACAAGTGAAAGAATTAGTAGGTTGAGTCTAATTGCAATAAGTTTTATTTTATGCATGGGATGAATACATTTTTAGTGGTGTATATCTGCATATTTAAATTCTTTAACCTACACCTACCAATCTGTCTTTTAAAGGATAAATAGTTAAAAGTCATAGAGTTTCAAATTAATAATATATAGGGTGACATACCTCACACAAATATTAAATCTTGAATTTTGATATTAACTTGGGGAGTGCAAAGAGAAACAATAATGAATAAAGAGCAAACATTGAAACATTCAGGAACTATTCCATGTGTAAAATGTGACAACAGTTGATGAACGTTAATGTGAAGATAAGATGAGACCTACATTAATATGAAATTAATTATTGACCAATAAATTGGACATCCGTACGTCTCACATTTTGTAGCATCACCTAACCGGTTTCTAAGTGGACCCTTTAACACACACCCAAACAAACCCTTAATTCAATCATTCTTTACTTAATTTTTCTTAATTACTTAATTAATTAACAATCCTTTATGTGAATGAAAATGTCTGTGGAAGATTCTGCTGCTGAGGTGTAGTTTTCGGATGAAGGTGTGATAGTTCAACATATCTACTGCAAGAAAAAAACAAAAAGGAATAAAAATGCTTGGCCTCATACCAACAATGAACAACGTTGATTCAGATTGTGTGTGTGTGTGTGTGTGTTGCTTAATTAGATGAATACAAAGAAAGTCGTAAGAACAACGTTTGCTGCAACGAAGAAACACAGCGAATACAAAGAAACACCACACAGTCTTTACTAGTTCTCTGTCTTTGTCACTTCACCATCAAGTGCTCTCTATACCATTTTCAATTTCTCAAGTTTCAGAGAGAGACGCCTAATTGGAAACAAATTTCTTTCTTTCGAAATGAATAAAATGCAAAACTTTGTCTATGCAAGAACAAGCAAAAATCGCTGACTTAAAGAATATGACGAAACATGAAGACAAATTAACTTAATGTACACTTTAATGGTGAGCTACAATGTAAAATCATATTATCATCATGTCAATTATACAGGGCCACACAGAATTTTGTCGTGAAGCCCTAAAATTCAACGTGCATGGCATGTTGTATGATAGACTCGCGAAATCAAGTGTTTATTATTAGGTTTTCAAAATACGGATAAAAATAAGTATTAATTTAATCTTTGAAATGAGTTGAAATGGTTATCCCTTTAATATAATATTAGGGGTGAAATCTTGTAAAATTTTTAATATAGTTTTGATTTTATTAGTGTAAAAAAATATCATAATTTTATATTTATGATAATAATTTTAGGACATACCTTTAAGATATTTTCTATTTTAAAATTTTAATTTACGATGATTTTGTTTTTAAAAAATTACTTTAAGACATATAATTAAGGTATTGTCTATTTTAAAATTTTAATTTACAATTATTTATTCTTAAAAAATATATCGATAAATTAAGAACGAATAATATATATAAATTAATTTTTTTAGTTAGAACTTATATTTTTTAGTATGTTTTAGAAGTTGATATTTATATACTTATTTTTTTTAATCTAAAAAAATTCTTTTAAGAATAAAACTTTCATTAATTAGAAAATATAGAAAATTTAAATATTAAATGATAATTACATCAGTTGTAATTAATTTTTTATATATATATATTTTTAAGTTGATGACTAGGACAAGTTGCTAAATCACAATGACTCAACGATTATTCATGATACAACAGTGCTAATTATTTACATGAACAACCTACCAACAAAATATGTATGACATTATATATGGGTATTTTGTTTCCTTTGTAGTTTAATCTGAATTTGAAATTGGCTAACTTAGCTAACAAGTTAACTATAACTTTTACAAATGCCATAAGCTCCATTAACTTCAGACGTTTTCTCTGTTATATCAGAGTACGTTGGATGGAAAAATCATTCAACTGAACTCAAATTTTTGGCTTCACCTTATTGAAAAGCACAGATACAATATATGAAGAAGTGAAACCAGGAAAAATTAAACTATTTAAACCAAATTATCATTAGAGTTTAATATCGATGAGAGATATTTAGGTTTCTCAAATATGTTCATCAACGTCTAGTTTTTATAATTCTCATATTTCAACAGAAATCAATCTCTGTTTTTATTGTCAGAAGTTGTTATTTTATTAGGAAAAATCAAAGTATAACCGCTTTGAAAAGAAAAGACAAGACACTTACACAAATATTTTTAGAGTAAATAATTAAACACACGGTTTTATAATTATTCTTGTTTTATAAATACCACACACTTATCAGTATTTAACAAAAAAAGTCAGTAGAGTAGTTAATTAGTGTATTTATTAAAACAAAATTTAAAAATATTAAGCTCCATTGTTAAAGTATAAAGAATAAAATTGTCATGAAAAAGTATAAAGAATAATGGCATAAAAAGGTATATAAAGAATAAAACTTTAGAACGCGGTAACGCGGGGAACTAGTTCTACATTTAAATTAAAAAAAATAAAATAATAATAATAATAATAACAGGAGGAGTAAACACGAAAAGCTAACATGAGAAACAAGGTATTTATTTATTACTGTAAAAGTTAGTGGGGCCCGCCCTAGTTTCTTGTATAGGAAGTGCTTCACTTCCTGAAATACTAATTTGAAGTGAAGGAAGAAGAGAAGTAATTGAGAGACGAAGGAAGTTGAATGTTGAAGTAAGAGGGACCCAATATCCGAAGCCTGAAAATGCTACAAAACCATCCACGACAAATGTTCACTCACCAACTATACCAAATTCCCCTCCCCTCCATATATTCTTCATTCACTCAAACCCAAACTGTATTTCAAACCTCAATCTCCATTTCATCTCTTTCTCAAGAAACGACAATGAAATTCAGGCCCAGAAGACCAAAATCAAAACAACCACCACTCCTATTCTTTCTCATTCTCTTCCTCTTCTCACTACCCGCTCCATCATCATCGTCCAGTCACGCCAAATCAACCACCACCATCGCCCACCAATTCAAAGAAGCCCCTGAATTCTACAATTCCCCAGAATGCGCCTCCATCACCGACACCGACGACAACGTTAGCAGCGACCAAAACAGCGACATATACATCTGTTCCGAGGAAGTAGTCCACGTGGCAATGACGCTGGATATAACATACATCCGAGGATCCATGGCGGCGATCCTTTCGGTCCTCCAACACTCCTCCTGCCCCCAAAACATATTCTTCCACTTTGTCTGCTCCTCCAGCGCGTCCCTCCTACGCGCCGCCATCTCCAACTCCTTCCCCTACCTCAAGTTCCACCTCTACACCTTCGACGACTCCCAGGTCTCGGGGCTCATCTCCACCTCCATTCGCTCAGCGCTCGATTGTCCCTTGAACTACGCGCGCTCCTACTTGCCCAACCTTCTTCCACTGTGCGTGCGGCGCGTGGTGTACTTGGACTCCGACCTTATCCTCGTTGACGACATTGCCAAGCTTGCAGAAATCCCATTGGGGGAAAACTCGGTCCTCGCTGCCCCTGAATACTGCAACGCCAACTTCACCGCGTATTTCACCTCAACGTTCTGGTCCAACCCTTCGCTCTCGCTCACCTTCGCAGACAGGAAGCCCTGCTACTTCAACACGGGGGTGATGGTGATCGATTTGGAGCGGTGGCGAGAGGGGGATTACACCACCAAAATCGAGGAATGGATGGAGCTGCAGAAGAGGATGAGAATCTACGACTTGGGTTCTCTTCCACCCTTCTTGCTTGTCTTTGCTGGGAACATCGCTTCCGTGGATCACAGGTGGAACCAGCACGGTCTCGGCGGTGATAACTTTCGTGGACTCTGCAGAGATCTGCACCCTGGCCCTGTTAGTCTCTTGCATTGGAGTGGCAAAGGTAAACCCTGGGTTCGATTGGACGCTAATAGGCCTTGCCCTCTGGACGCGCTTTGGGCACCCTATGATCTCTTAAGAACTCCCTTTTCTTTGGATTCTTGAACAACGAACTTCAGATTAATTCGATCATATATGGGATCCAATGATCCATCATATATATACACACACATTTATACATACATATAATACTCTAGTATACAGTTATTATACAATACAATTTGAGCTCTCTCTGGAGCTTAATTTCCGATTGGTTCAATGCAAGGGTGACAAGTTTCTTTGTAGATTGATACAGATTTGAAGCTTAACATAAGGCACCCGCATATTCAAACTGGGAGGAGGAAAGGGTGAATTTTGAAGTGACGGGTAATAGTCATTGTAATTGTGCTGTTGTTACTGTATCAACTACCGAATAACTGTGCATAGAAAGAGCTTCCGTATTTTGGATGCGTGAATTCCTCAACTTTTTATCTCTACTTCTTAATAAAATTTTGTATATGTAGAGTACCATTCTTTTTTACTATTGCACCACTGTAATTATTCCAAGTTAGTTTGGTTTTGACCCTATGTTCAAGTGTTCATGCACGTGGAGGTTTACTTTAATCTACAAAACTGAATCTGAAACAGTAGGCTGATATGATTTAAATACCGTGTTCGATTCCATACGGGACATGCCCGTGCAAGTAACGTTACCCTGCAGATTTAACCTTAAAATGCTTTAATAAATGCACATCCCTACGTATCCCACGTTAAACAAAAAAATGTTTAGAATTGGTTCAATGTACCCATAAAGTTTAATAAAATAAAGGCTTTGTGGTAAAGAAAATAATAAAAAATTATTAAACAAAATATAAATATTTATTTTCTTTGCAAAAAATTGTTTAGTTTTTCATTAAATAATTATGATAATTTTTCAACAAATTGTTTAATTTAACAATATTAAGTTTTTTCCCTATAAAAAGGGACACCAGATACTCTTTTATTCTTTGACATTACTTCACCTTTTGATCAGTATACTTATTTGATCTCTTATTTTGTTTGTTTGACAACGGAAAGCAAAGGATTTTGTTTAGTTGTGTACTAATTCAAGTGAAAGATAATGTGATGTAACATCAGTTTGAAAAAAAAAAAAAAGTGATGCAAATTGATATATGGTCAAAGTCAAAATTGCAATCAATATATAATATATATAAATAATGACAAGTCTATTTGAAAAATATAATTTCCTTTTTTTTTTTGCATTTTAAAAATCCATTTTCTTTGAACTGTAGATTGCCATGAAAAGGATAGTAGGTCAATGGCTGATTAATAATATTATTATTCATTTACTTGACAACCTGCAAGATATTATTGATATTTCTTAACATCCGTTTCAGCGTTTCTGATTCAATAACTCCGTTTGTCATGAGAAAAAAGAAGAAGAAGAAGCCCGTTTGTAAATATAAAACAATTATTGTTGATCCTTTAGCCATAATATTTAAATTTAAAAACGGAAAAGCTGTGTCGGTAGACGAAGGAAAGAAACGTGGGAGAACATGAAGATATCTGTAAAGGTGAAGGAACCTTTTAATAGAAACGCGTGGCGACCAACAAGTGGCTGAAGATGGTGCATGTCAGATTGCGACTCTTAAGAAGTGAGAGTTTCCAATAATTTTCCATTTCCATGATCTGGTGCATGTTGTTGTTATTCTAACACTGCTAGAAAATATACTTTCAACGTCGCTGTTTAACGTCGGTTACATCTTAGTCGACGTTGAACATGCTTTCAACGTCGGTTGGTCAACAACCGATGTCAAAAATCGAATTTTGACACATTCTACGTCGTTTTAGCATGCACGACGTGGAAAGTAGGCTTTCGACGTCGGTTATGCCCTCACCCGACGTTGAAAACCCTTCTGAACTTATTATGACCGATCAGAATACAAATATGACCGATCAGAATCAAATGTGATCGATCAGATTTTAATTATGAGCGATCAGAATTTTTTCAATCGATTAAAAACACGTTTCAATCGATTAAAATCTCTTAAAGGGTCAGGATGATCGATCAGAATCCAGTTATGACCGATCAGAACTATTTTAATCGATTAAATCTCGTTTCAATCGATTAAAACAGGAGATAAATCGAGTTTCAACGTCGGGTGTGGGTATAACCGACGTCGAAACCCCGTTTTCCCATTTGAATATAGGCTACCATTTTTGTATATCTCCCCTTACTCTCCAGCATCGCGCCCACTTCCCTTACTCTCCAGCATCGCGGCCACCACCTACCACCGTCATTTGGACTCTCTGGACGCCCTCCCTCACGTCGCCACCGCGCACCGCGTGACACTCCCGCCGCAGCACCTCCACCCCATTGCAGCTTCCACCTCACCGCGACGCTAGTCGCCCACCGCGACGCTAGTCAACCACCCTCCACCCCCACCGCAGCCTCCACCCACATTGCATTGTCCGCTCACCACAGCCTCGACCCTAACGCCGCATTGCATCCTCCACCTCCACCCCAGTGCAGCGCTGCTCTGTTTCTCTGTGGTGCGAACCTTCATCGCTGCCTTAAACCACAGGTACGATGTTGTTGCACTTATATTTGTTGGGCAAAGTCATACAATTTTACTTACTACATTTCATAGGTAGAGATTGTTAGTCATTTGCCGTTAACTGTTGATTCAATTCTTAGTCATATTATAGTTTTTTTCAATGTATTGATGATGTGTACAATTATACTTGAACTGCTTGAATATGCCCGTGGGGCTTTTTATTGTCAGGTTTCACTGTGTCATTTAAAATTGTTGCCAAAAAACAAAGGAAACTCTACCGGATTTTTGTTAGAAATTAATCATGAAGTGTGAATTCTGAAAACTACATATAACAATGTAATTATATAAGTGATGGTAGTAACAATGAAAACTCTGACTAATTTAAGTTATGTGTTCATGACTAATTTGTGTTTATATTGAAAATATGTGATAAATTGTGTTTATATTTCAAATATGTGATAAATTGTGTTTATATTCCAATTTATGCAAAAACTTAACTTAATTTTTTTTTTTTAACAGGCAAATGGCATCTCCTCCACCATCTCCTCCAGCATCTCCTCCAGCATCTCCTCCGGCATGTCCACCCCCCCCCCATCTCTAAAGAGGACTCGACAAGCCACACGGTTGAAAAAGTTGACCGTTCGTCATATGGCAGGAGATAAGTTGGTTGTGAGTGTGGATCCAAAGACTGGCAAAATATCAGGGCCACATCACACTCAATTTAGGTCCTACTTGGGTACTCTTGCTAGAGAAAAGGTATGTAATTTTTTAGAGTTTTTAACTTGTTATGCATATATGGTCAGCATATGTAAATGGATTGATATCTAACGTTTTAAGTTCATAATTAGGTATCTATTTTGCATCCATCTTGGGATTATGTGGAGGAGACTTGCAAAAATTTAATTTGGCAAGATATTTTGGTGAGTTTTGTTAACTCGTTAAATTATGTTAAGTTAGATCCTAAACTTTGTTATCCTAATTTATTTTGTTGTTTTTGCAGAATCACTTTGATATTGTTAACTCGAACAAGTTAGGAGAAAAGTCATGTCATCTATTGTCAAAATGTGGAGGCAATTCAAGTCGACATTGACTTCAAAATGGATTTTTAATGACCAAGCCATTAGCAAATGATTAACTCCTTGTCGGCGTTATGGCATAGATGAGGAAACTTGGAAGCGGTTTGTCGGGAGTAGGACTCGGTCCACAATGGGAGGTATGTTACTATTTAAAAACTTTGGTATGTTTTCATATTGTCTTATTAATTTAGCACATTGTAATATGATATTATGTTGCAGGAGAAGCGAATAAAAGGAAAGGAGATTCGGAGGCTGAATGTGGCCCCCACCGTCTCGTCTCGTGGGGGTATGATTTGTTGACGCAACGCATGATGAAGGAGAAGGCTAAACTCCGAGAAGCCGAGTTAGCCTCTTCGGTGTAAGCCAGGAAGAAATTTCCCCACCATCTCCTCCAAAACGTCATGAAAAATGGAAGAGGGCTCGGCAAAAGCCCTCCGGTGAAATGACATCGGAGGAGGCCCGCTTGATTGCCGAGCGGATTGTAAGTCAAATTAGTTTCTTTCAACCTCATTAACCATGCTTTGTCATTCATCAATTTTTTTTTACAATATATAATGCTCAATTGTAGGATTCTTTAGAGGAGCAGTATACACGGGGAACATTCGTTCCCCGTGGTCGTGAAGATATATTAACTACTCGCTATTGGACGCCCATAACACCCGGGGCGTGTTCGTGCTTGTTGGAGCTGGTGTGGGTATTCGAGCATATTTTGGAGCTCCATCATCGGACCATACCCACACCACATCATTGAGCCGGCAGGAGATGGCCGGATTGGAGGAGAGTCTAACAGCGAAGCTGAGACCAGCCGATGGTTGAAGAGGCGACAGCGACGCCGACACCGGCCATTACCGCACGAGTTCGGGAGGAGATGATGCGTGTATTTGGTTCAAGTCTAACATCCATAGGTGTCACACAGCCTACCCACCCACCTATGGATGTTCCTCCTCCATCTGCCGCACGAGTTAGCACTAAGGGTAGTTGTGTTGAGCCAAATACTGGCGATCAAGACCTTCCTGCTACTAATCGGGAGGTTGTTGTTGTTGTTGCGGACATCGACCACTCGGGTATGTGTGGATGATATCTTAATGACAAAAATTCATGTGCATATTAAATAATTAATGTCTTATTTTTGTGTAATCGAGTCGAGTGTGAATTTTATGTTGATGAGGATGGATCCGAACCACGATTGGTGGCGGTTGGTTCAATTGAAGAGGGGGCCTCTACAATTCATAGTGTGCCTTTAGCACCTAACTTGGCCAAAGTGGTCATTGAAGAGGTTCGAGATGCTTATGCTCTTGTACCTGTGCCTACGGACGAGGTGATGACGAGTGGGACAGGCCCTCCGGACCTTCATTGCATGGCCTAGACATCTAATCGGGCCTATTTTGAAAAAGGTTTGCATATACTTTACGTTAATTATCATATGTAGTCCGGTACTGTTTTTTATTATTTCTCAAGTCAATGTTATTTTATGTAGGATGTTCGAAGCCAT